GTGTGTACACACACACAGAGCGTGTCTTTTCCAAACTGCTCTTCACTCCCTAATGGAAGACATCTTTTTTCTTCTTAAAGTATGCTTTTCCTTGGTTTTAAAGGGGTTTTGTTAAAGAAAAAATTATTCTGACGCTTGTTAAAAGGCTGACTATTGAAGCTTTTTGCAATGGGGATGTCACCCTGGGGAAGAGTTGGGGCTCTGAACCCAGCAGAGACAGCTGGGGTCCGTGGATGGAAATAACTGAGAGGGACTTCAAGGGTAGGAGGCTTTTGGTGAAACTGGCCTAACAGGAAGGTCAGGGGCTTAGCTGTCAAAGGTGGGGGTGAGGACTTGATCAGATATCCAGGTGGGGGTGGCTTAGGATTCTCTGTGAAGACTGGGCTGGGCAGGCCGAGGACAGAACAAGGCAGGGTCCAGAATTCATGGGCCAGAGGGGCCTGGCTAGCCTTTGGTCAAGGAGGGTCTTTGTAGTTTCCAGGGAGGCATTTGTGCCTCTGTCACTGGCAAGGCTAAAAATGACAGCTACGGACCCCCTAACTGGACCTCAGTTTTAGTTCTTGCCTCCATCAGGAGGCCACAGAGGAAGCCTGCTCGTTGTCAGGGAGTGAGCCCAGAGCTCTGGGAACATGAGGGGACCACTTAGCCCAGCCTCTCTCTGGGGGTTGCTGAAAGTGGAAACTCTTGCCTTGTGTCTCCCCAGGAGCCATGGACGCTGTGGAACTTGCCAGAAAGCTGCAAGAGGAGGCCACTTGCTCCATCTGCCTGGACTACTTCACGGACCCCAAGATGGCCTCCTGTGGCCACAACTTCTGCCATGACTGCAACTGCCTGAGCTGGGAGAAGGCAAAAGGCAAGAAGGGGCAGAGGAAGCAGAAGGGCTCCTTCACCTTCCCGGAGTGCAGGGAGATGTCCCCGCAGCGGAATGTGCGGTCAAACCACATGCTCACCAAGGTGGCCGAGATGGCATGCCAGCACCTGGGCCTCCAGAAGCAGGACCTGTGCCAGGTGCACCAGGAGCCCCTCAAGCTCTTCTGCCAGGAGGACCAGAGCCCCATCTGCATGGTCTGCAGGGAGTCGCAGAAGCGCCGGCTGCATATGGTGGTGCCCGTTGGGGAGGTCGTGCAGGAGTACAAGTGTCTAGGGACAAGGTGGACCCCATCAGAGACTAGGAAGGGAGCATCCAGGAGTACAAGGTGGGCCAGAGTCAGAAACCGTGGAGGGGGTGTCCAGGGGGACAAGGTGGGCCTTGGTCAGAGACTGGGGGGGGGGATGTCCAGAGGGACAAGGACGTCGGACTACGTGTGTGTGTGTCGGGGCGGGGGTGGTTTATTAGTCAGGGCAGACCGTCGGCCTCGTAGCAAACAGCCCCATGTGCACAGCCAAACAGTGGAAGTGTCCCCTTGCTCCCTGGACAAAGCAGGGGGGTGACCAGGCCTCCAGGGTCCAGGCCCACTAAAGGCTCTGCCCTTGTCCATCTCCCTGGGCTCCAGAAGCCCTGTTGGGCTGGCATGGCCACCTGCATGGGTGGGCCAGGAGGCACGTGCCCCACTTCATCTGTCCCCACTCCCTCAGCCACACCTGGGCAGCCATGCCTGACAGCAGGAAGCTGTGAGGAGCAGCCAAGCAAGACGGATGTTGGTGAGCTAGGCCAGGAGGACACTGTGGCACCATCACAGCCCTCTGCCAGGAAGGAACAGCAAGACAGCCACGTGCTCCTGGCTCTAGCGCTCTGCCTCCTCTCTCTCCCGAGCTCCGCGGCAGACACTGTGGGAAGCAATGGCCCCTGGAGGCTGCACGTGCGAACTATCGACTAACGTGCAACACTGGAATGTGCTTCCCGTGTGCCAGGGTCCTTTCTAATTCTCTAATCCACTCATCCACTCCCCGCCAAAACCGATCCCTACTGCAGCCACTCTGGAAGGCGAGCGCCAGCTCTGTCCTACTTTCCACCAAGGAGCAACTCGGGACACTGACAGGGGCCGAGCAGGGTTTTTACCCAGGCACATGGATCTGGGTTTGGGGTCTGGATGGAAGGAGCCTCCCACTTCAGGCTAACTTCGGGGAGGAGGCCACATTACTTTCAGAGATCACAGGCAGGGCGGCTCATCAGAGACCACTCAAACCACATCCCGTGAAGTGCAGAGCAGAGTGACGTGGCTCTGAGGGGCTTGGATGGGGCTCAGCAAGCCTCTGCCCCATAGTGTGCCCCTCAAAAAAAAAAAAAAAAACCCACAGCACCTCTGATNGAAATTATTCATTAAAGGTTTTTTCCTTGTTGTTGTTTTTTAATCCTGATCGTATTTTCTAAACTGAAGGAAACCCTCAGCCCACATTCCCCCATTGATGGAAACAGCAGGGAGGGTTCCAGGACCGGGAGGGGGGTTGGTAAAATAGAATTAACAGCAGTTGTTCGCTCATGCAGAGAACTGTGCGTGCCCACCACCCGCACCCTCCGTGTCACACGGAATCGAAAGGCCAGACTCCGTCCTCGTGTGTTTAGTGAGGAGAGACCACGGAAAAGCTCCAGCCGGGAAGCCCAGGGAAAGCCAGTCGTCTACACTGGGAGCCAGGCCGCCTACATCTGCGGCCAGGCCATCTACACACAGAGCCAGGCCATCCACATTTGCAGCCGGGCCATCTACACCCAGAACCAGCCATCCGCACCTGCAGCCAGGCCGTCTACACGCAGAGCCGGCCATCCGCACCTGCAGCCGGGCCGTCTACACCCAGAGCCGGCCATCCGCACCTGCAGCCGGGCCGTCTACACCCAGAGCCGGCCATCGGCACCTGCATCTGGGCCGCCCATACTCGCACCCCCAGGAGATGGCAGGAAGGTGCTGCTAAGCCTTCACGGCCTTCTGTTTTCCTGCTCGCTTCCCCACACCCCTCGCCTGGCCGGAGCCTGTTTCCTCCTCTGTCCGCTCAACCCCAGGACTCTGACATGGGTTGGTCAGGGTTAGGGGGCGGCATGTCGGGGCTTGGTAATATCCCCCACGCCGCCCCAGGGGAACAGACCTACCTGTCGCCTCCCCGCAGCCCAGCCTGCCCCGCCCACCGTCTCCGCCTAAGCCCGACGCCCCCTCTCCTCAACCCTGGACCCGATGCCGACGATGCCCGGGAGAGTTGGGGGATCGCTACCCCCCGGCGACCCGCTTCACCCTCCCAGGGGGGCACCCGCCCCTGCTCGCTGACCCTGTTCCCCCACCCCCTTCACCGACCGCCCACGGGGACGCCCTCTCCCGCCTCCTCCACAGGGACCCCCTTTCCCTCCCAATGACTCACCCCAAACACACCGGACAGGCCGGCGCCCCCTTTCCTCCCTTATCCCCCAGCCCCTCCCCACCAGCAAACCTCCTGTCCATCCCTCTGCCCAGGCCAAGGCGGCACCCACTCCCGACTGTCCCAGGACGCAAGGCTCCTCCACTCTCCTCCCTTCCCCCCCCCTGACCCAGCTGACGCCACAAAGTCCGCCGCGGCCCGGCCATCGCCGATCAGCCCCGGACGCCGGGCGTGGTGCTAGGGCCACCTCCCTGTGAGTACCGGCCCTGCAGGCCACCCTCCTGCAGCCTCTGGGTCAGGACCCCGGGTCCACCCCCGCCTTCTAACGGCGGCGCCTTCCCACCCCTCCCGGCCGTC